GGGTTAACAGCGAGCTAATCTATTAGTTTGCCTTGTACCCAATCAAGCTTTGCTTAGTAAGTAAAAAACCCTTTCCAAAAGGGTTCGTTATATTCGCTTTCGCTTGGGAAAAGTAAGAATCCACCTCATCTCTCCCCAGCTATGGGTTAGTTGGGAAGTCTTGTATCGCATAATCATTATTACCTCCCTCTCTAATATTCTTACAATCTACAAATATTTTCTGGATTGAAATAAACTGAAACTGGTTGACAAGCTGTAAGAAACGAATGAATCAAACTTATATGGTTATGACGAAATCATTTTTTATTATACTTAGCACCATCAGCAGACATTGGTCGTCTTGAAACTAGTCTTTAAGCAAATATTGTTTGTTTATTTTTATGTCTGCAAGGATATATAGTTGGTATTTATATATATATATATATATATATATATATATATATATATATATATATATATATATATAGCAAAACGATTTGGGTTGGAATGTGGATTTTTTTTTTTAAATACAGTGTAACCCGGATATAAGTTAAACCCGAATATAAAAGAGATTTTCTCTGGTCCCAAATTAGAGCCTGTGTTAATGTATATAAAATAGACCAAACCCGGATATAAGAGAAACCCGGATATAAGAGACTTCTTCTCCGGTCCCGACAACTCTCTTACATCCGGGTTACGCTGTATTATGCTTTATTTTCCATAATTTTACTGCATGTGTTTCTGGTCTCGTGACCGTCTTCAGGTAAAAGGCGGAGATTTCCACATATTATTAAAAATAATTAATTTTTTTTCTTTATGTTTTTCAATATTAAATATTCTCGATATGAGATATTCTTTGTTTTTATGTTAGTAATCCGAATGTCTTTCTTGAATTATATATATATATATATATATATATATATATATATATATATATATATATGTCTTTCTTGAATTATATATATTCACTGACTGGACGAAAAAATAGATTAGCACCTACAAAGCAAAAAGAGACCGAGCTAAATTGAATTAAATAAAAAGTAGATAAATGGACATATAAATTTGTATAGAAGACTATAAAATTATATATATATATATATATATATATATATATATATATATATATATGTGTGTGTGTGTGTGTGTGTGTGTGTGTGTGTGTGTGTGTAGTTCAGCTGACATGAAGTGCAAAGAGTATAGTAAATTAATTGCTAAGTCTACAGCTCAAAAAGTTGGTTCACTACATCTTGCTAGACAATTTTTTCTCGCCAGAATCTGTCTTACATATTTATAAGTCTAATATTCGTTCTTGCTTTGAATATTTCTGCCACATCTGGTCCAGTGCTCCTGTTATATATTTAGAGATTCTGGATGGGATCCAAAGAAGATTTTTTGTTATCATAATGTGGGATATTTAAAAAAAAGATGACTGACAGAAAAAGAAAAGAATATAAATGAATTTGGTTAGATCACAAAAAATTATTTCAAAAATTTTTAAAACAACCATCGTCTCTAGTTAATGTGCATATGTAGTCATTAACAACTTCAATAAACGCATCCAGATGAAATCCTAACGGATGAAACGCAACACAAATATTTTTTTTTTTCCATTTTGTCTCACAATTTCCTCAAAACTGTTCTTGATATATAAGACGGATATCGTTAGATCATAAATATATTATAAATGTTACTTGTTTCGGACCTTAGTAAAATATTGACAAACATACGAACCCCAAGCAATGTCATAAATTAGCTGAGTGTTAGAGAATATGAGAAAAAAGAAAAACCTTATTAACGAGAGAGGACAATAAAAGAACAGAAATTAATAAGACAGGAGATAAAGGTTGACATCGCATTTAATTTTTTAAAGATCAAATTTGACTAAAAAGCAAGAAGGCAGAAAAGAATTCCACAAGAGAAAATAATTCTTTGAAATAATTTTTTGCAATCTGACCAAATTCATCTATATTATTTTTCTTTTTCTGTCAGTCATCTGTTTTTAAATATCCCACATTATCATAAAAAATATCTGCCAAGAATGTTGAAACGTTGTAAGAACCTGGACTTAAATTTACTGCGGCTGAACAAGTAATTAAAGCACTTTCTAGACATTTTTCGTTAATTATTTTCTCTTTTAATTAGAGTAACATTTTTTTATTTCAATATTGTTGCCACTTTCGCATGGTGAACAACCAGTCCGTTTTATGTGTTGTCTTTTAAAATGTCACTTTCATGTTCATATAGTCCTTTGTTTAAACTTCTTGAGCTTTCTCCAGTATATTCTTTCTGACAATACTTGCAACTGATAAAGTAAATTCCTCCTTCAAATTTTGGCTTGTTTTTATTTTATATTGTCTTTTATTGTTTTAGATGTAATTGTGACAGATTTTATGTTAAGTTTAAATAAATTCTTTTCGGTTGTATTTGTGATAGAGTTACTGATATGTCCCGGAAAGGGATATATTTGATCGAAGTAGCTAAGTGGTTTTGACTACGGTAACCAAGTAGTATACGGTAGCAGTAATCGACTGGTACTCGTCGTAGTCGCAGGTAATAGGTGTAGACCAATAGGATAGCCAATGGCGTAGTCCAATGGGCGTCGTCATAGATTTAAACTCTGTCGTACCTACACGTCCGTCTGTATTTATGACGGACACCAGCCAATCATATTCAAGTGAGGGGTAACTCAGGTGTATGCATATTCCATTATATCATTTACTAAGAAGAATAATCTATGTTTTTGATCCGTTGAGTTTTATCAGGAAGAACCGCTTTTCTATTTTGGAATATTTTATGAGCCTTTTATGTCGCATTGAATATGAAGAGTCTTGAATATATTTTCAATATATTTCTCTTCTTCATGTAAATATTGAGGGCTGCAAATTGGGAGTGCTCTAAGTAGAATCTAATGATTATTTCTGACTTTATTTCGTTGTTATGATGGGAATACAAATTTATTAGGTCATTTTTATTAGTTGATTTTCAGTCGATGTAACATGATGTCTAAGAAAAGTAAATTATTGTTTTCTTCCATTTTGTATGTAAATTCTATTGTATGTTCGACTTTGTTTAGTTTATAGACAAGATCCGGTAAATCAGTATCACGGGGATATATTAATAGATCATCATCAACATATCGGATGTAAGCTGATTGTTTAGGTAAAATATTTTGGAATGAACTAGATTCGAGAAATTCTAAGAAGATACATGCCATCACTCCACCGAGAGGTGATCCCATTGGTAATCCAAATTTTTGTTTCTAAAAATTGTTAATAAATGTAAAATAGAATTGATTGGTGATGAGACGACAGATTGTTATTATTTTAGCAATTGGTAGGAAAAGATTTATTTTTGATTGTGTTAGATGCTTTTTAAGATATTTCAGCATGTTTCAACCTGGACATTAGTGTAAAGTGATTTTATATCTGGAATGCCTAAGAAACTTTTTCAGTCATATTTGTTTCCGTTAATTTTTCAACAAGGTTGCCCAATTTTTTTCATATGTGATGGACTTATTGTTCCAAGGATAGGAGTTAAAATTTTTTTAATGACCCTAGCCAGTTTGGCGGGGTGGGGGTGGCACTGCCTATTAGTGAATAGTGAATAACCTGTGGGGAGGCACGGTGGAGTAATGGATAGTGGCTCGGATTGAGGAGTCGGAGAGCTAAGTTCGAATTCCAGTCGAATCTATTAGATTTACTTACGTGCTATTACCCTTGGGATAGGTATGAATCCTCTTTTTCTCCCCCCCCTCCTCAGCTATGTGTAAATATCAGGACAGACCGGATTCTATAGCTTTAGATGGCAGCTGGTCTACCGCAGAAAGAAATGGCAACCTAATGCGGGGAAAAATCTGTCTTGTCAGTCATGTATCGAAAGATACATGATCGCCTAAGTGTGTACCACTCATGGCATATAACTGACTGACTGAATAACCTATTTAACGAGCTTGAGTCAATGGTTAGCACAAGAGGGATTAGGAGAGATAGCAAAAAGATAAACCTTGCAAAGAGCTATAACGGAGAAGAAGTTGTGGATATCTAAGATAGATCATGTCCTGAAGGGAAACGGCACAAAAAGGAAAATAATTTCTCGATTAAATAAAGAAAAGAATCTTATGTGTGGAAATGTTACGTTCAGTTGAAATACTTAAATCGTTTTTTTTTATTATAAAAAAGAACTCTGACAAAATGTAACTTCTTGGCTTTATATTTTATTCTGTGGAGCACGTTAAAAAATTATTTCTCATACAGGAAAAAGTTTTTGCCTGTGTTGAATAAAGTGGATAGACTTATAACTAAAGACAAGTGAAATTAAAACATTAAGATTTTCATTTAAAAAAAAGATGGAAGAAATGTCGAAATGAAAAAAAAAATCTTATAATACAATATAATATATTTAAAAGGAATTAGATTTGATTTATATTTACTTGGTATTTTGGACATTAAAATTATGAAAATTTTGAATTTGTTCATGACACTTATAACCTTGAAATTATAAAAAAAATTTAGAGCGCTAAAAATTAAAATTTCATATGTTGCCT